TAATATATTAAGTATATACATATTTGCAGTCCACAGGGCTTCTGATTGCTAATGTCCTTTCTAGAGAGATGCCTCAACCATCAGAAGCATATGCTTGCAAATTAAAGACATAAATTTTGGTGTCAACATGAGTGAGAAATCTGTGCTCCTGTTATTAGTACTTTTCAGTCGACTACACAGGCCTAAATCAGACCCCCTCCCCGAGGCACCTTTCACTTGATTTTCCTCAGAATGCCCTCTGCTTCTTTTAACACCACTTTGCAAGAATTATGAAGTGGCACACCTTTATATCAGGCACAGAATTGGGTATATTAAGTGCTGGAAAAGCTCTCATTATTTCTGAAAGAGACTATTATATATACCACATGCACAGCTGAGCTCAACTTCATATGACCCTACACAGTACAGTAACTTCCATCCTTGGCAGACAAAGCAATCAGATAACACAGGTACATCAGGAACTGTTAAACATAGGAGGAGATTGATATGATATCCAACAGATAAAGATATAGCTATGTTTAATTTTTATAGAATCAACCAGGTTGGAAAAGATCTCCAAGATCATCAAGTCCAACCCTCCTGTAGTTACTAGCCCATGGCACTAAGTGCCACATCCAGTCTCAGCTTGAAAACCTCCAGGGATGGGGAATCCCCCACACCTCCCTGAGCAGCACATTCCAATGTCTGAGCACTCTCTCCATAAAAAAATCTCTTCCTAATATGCAACCTAAACCTCCCCTGGCAGAACTTGAGTCTGTGCCCTCTTGTCCTGCTGCTGGTTGCCGGGGAGAAGAGACCAACCCCCACCTGACTCCAACCTCCTGTCAGGGAGTTGCAGAGGGTGAGAAGGTCTCCCCTGAGCCTCCTCTTCTCCAGGCTGAACACCCCCAGCTCCCTCAGCCTCTCCTCATGGCACTTGTGCTCCAGTCCCTTCACCAGCCTCGTTGCTCTTCTCTGGACCTGCTCCAGCCCCATAATGTCCCTCCTGAACTCAGAGTGCCAGAACTGCACACAATATTCAAGGTGTGGCCTCACCAGCACCAAGTCCAGGGGCAGAATCACCTCCCTGGTCCTGCTGACCATGCTGTTCCTGATCCAGGCCAGGATGCCATTGGCCTTCTTGGCCACCTGAGCACACTGGTGGCTCATGTTCAGCTCCCTGTCTCTCCAAACTCCCAGGTCCCTTTCTGCCTGGTGCTCTCCAGCCACTCTGTCCCCAGCCTGGAGCTCTGCATGGGATTGTAATGGCCAAAGTGCAGGACCAGCACTTTGCCTTGTTAAACCTCATCCCATTGGAATCAGCCCATCTCTCCAGCCTATCCAGGTCCCAGCAGATCCACACTCCCCCCCAACTTTGTGTCATCTGCAAACTTGCTAATGGTGCAATTCTTTACAGGCACAATGTTCCAATTATGAACTGCGATTTAAAACTGTTGCTCTTAAAATCTGAAATTAGCTTTTTAATATAAAATACATAGCTAATATATATTCGTCATCTTAATTTGGCATATTACCTATCTCATTTTTATTATTTCTGAGAGGCTTCACATGCAGAGGAGTTTTAAGTTAAAAAATAAGTTTCTGTTCTAAGGAATTCCAAATTACACTTTTAACAACATAACAAGTCTGGGATTTCTAGACACTCCTCTGCCTTGTAAGGTACTTGTTGTTTTTGTTTTGAACTTTTATTTGACTGAACACCAAAAAGGGATGGGAATTTGTTAGGTATTTCATGAAAATAACAGATCATAAGACGATAAGAGCAAATACCATGAGAAGCAGCAACTGGAATAACAAGTAAAGTGAACAAGGTAGGAATAAGGAAAAAAGGCTGTGCATAGTTTCAAGGGGACAAGGGGAAAGCAGTGCAGCCTGGGGGAAGGGAATATCACTGCCATCAAAGAATGCAGCTCCTCACAATTCTGGGAGGTTTTTATTGGTTTTCCTTTCATACAGTCTGCTTCAAGGCAGAAGAAATGCTTCTCCAATGATCTCTAGTTTGTTAATCAGTTTGACCTTTGCTTATACTTGCCCGAATAAAACTGTTTCCTAATTTATTTTTACTTTTCATAAACCTCGAGGTTGATCTTCCATCTTTAAAAAGATCAAATATTTTATTATACCTAATATCAGATTATTGAAGATTTTAGTCCATGCATGGGCAGTTCATCTAATCCCATTGACCTTTTCGTATTAAAATCCAGTTTTATGCTTTATCTGCTATTTGTTAAAAAAAATGGGCTGTTGTTCAGATGTTGGTTCTTTATTCTTATATGAAAATTAAAGCTAAACAGGACTTATTTTTTATTTATGTGGAACTGAGAATATGAACCTGAGATTTAAAAGAAGCTGAAGGTGCCAAGTCCAGTATTTGGAATGTTATGGATAGTTCAAAGTAGGAGGCTGCGTTCTGACTGAAAAGTAAGAGCATCCATCTCAAGTAATCAGACTGTCACCTGCTTAGCTCATCTTTCCTTATTTAAAATTCATGCAGAGATAATATTTGCTGGTAGATTTCCTTCTATTTTATGTATAACTAACTGATGCCAATGTCCTCATATCCAGCCAATTTCTTCCAAAAGAGACTTCCCACAGGACAAATAAACCTAACTGTCCATCTCCAAAACCATGGTTTATAAAAGACAAAACAATAAATAGGAAGTGAAAATCTCTTCCACACAAAACAAGTTAACTTCCTAGACAGGAAAAACACCACATGTGACAGAGCAGATGAACATTACAATTAAACAAACCTCAAGGAGTACCATGGGGAACAGTTGAAGCAAGTTGCACAAATCACATTTATTCTGCCAAAAATCTGCTTTGCTACAGAAAGCAAAGAAGGGCTGAAAGGGAAGTTCTGGTCATTAAAATTGAACAGTAATTTATGCCGTGCTAGAAGTCAGTACTGTTTATAGGAAATGTAATGAGCTTTTATCTTACAGAATGAAACAAATTAACTGCAATAAAATCTTTTTCATATGTATTCAAACCATCAGGATTATTAGTGACTTTGCTCCCATTAATATGCTTTCTCTGTTTAGGATGCTACAGCTCAACTAAACTTTACTGACTCTTTTGGTTTAATTCCTCAAGTCAACTTACAGAACATCAGAGGCTTTGAATCAAACTATAAAAATCTCAAAGCTGCAAGGTCAAGTGTCAGCCATAGAAGAAAATTCATAAAAGATCATCAAAAGTGCCTGGTAAACCATAAGACTTTGTAAAGAAAGGAAGAAAAAGATTCAACTTAAAGTGACCTCCAGAAGAGAATTATCAAGGGGTAGAAAACATTTTTGGAATTCAGATAAGATGCCAGACTGCTACTTGTAGAAAGAAAATTAATCACTCTGTTACTCCATCATGGAATCATAGATTATCCTGAGTTGGAAGAGACCCGCAACTATCATCCAGGTCAACTCCTGGGTCTGCACAGGACAGACCCTAGAATTCCACCATGCATCTGAGAGCATTGTCTAGATGCTCCTTGAGCTCTGGCAGTCTTGGTGCTGTGACCCCTTCCCTCAAAGCCTGTTCCAGTGCCCAAACACCCTCTGGATGAAGAACCTTGTCCTCATATCTAATCGACACCTTCCCTGACACGGCTCCATGCCATGAAGGTCCTTGTGAACACACTGACCACATAGCAGTGCTCAGGTGGAAGAAGTCAGATGTATGTGTCTAAGTGTGCACCTTTGGTCATATGTAAGGTACACTCAGGACGGTAATGCACAAATTATCTCTTCAGTTTCCATCCTGCTTTAAAACATACAAGGATCCTTGTATGTTTTCAAATGAACAGACAGATCAGCTCCATTTTGTCCATAGGCACTCACACCAATGAAGCATTCAGCAGCAAAGAAAAAAGTGAAGCATGGAGACAACTAATCAATACAAATAAAATTCAGTTTATATGCAAAAAAAAACCCCAAGCCATGGAAAAGCACTTGCAAAGTCTGAGAAACACTAAAAAAATTGTATGATAAAGACGCACATGCAAATTTGTGAAGAAGTCTGAGATGAAACAATTGCAAAGTTTGGTTGATTGATGAACTATTCCCCAAGTCCTTGGGGAAACAAGAGTTCTGCTCTCCTAAACAGAAGTTCAAGACAGAAGAACACAAACTGAAAGCAAATGATGGCCTAATTAAAATAGTATCTATCTAACAGCTCAGCACTGCACTAAAGAGAGACACTGACTGATAACACTGCAAAAAAGGAGACAAAATTTGCAAGAGAAAACCTGGTCAGAGCTAATGGAAATATGTATCCAACCTTTCCTCCCCTCTCTTTTCCATCATATTCTTGTGCTCTCCCAAGTTTTACCTTTTGAGAAATCATTAATGCCCAGTCAAAACAAAAGTTTGTGTTATCTATCAACATCTCATACCTTCTCCTTCGATAGCTCAGCAACAAGTGTGCCCAGCAGCACAGCCTACTGCAGATAAAAAGATGTCCAACAAATGACCTAAGCTTTCTCTCGCATGCACCAGGCTATATTGCTGACTGACCAGCAATAAAATCAGTATTCATCAGTGACTGGTTAGTACAATTAAACTCTCTATTCCACATACAACTTGGGATCACAATAAAGCACATTTGTTCTTCTCTATCCAGTGTTAAAAAGAGAAACTTGCTATGTGTGAATGCACATGCACACACACAGTGCTCACTCTCAAGGAACATGACTTCAAAGGCTTAATAGGAAACTAAACACCATCATTATACTGCTGACAAGACTTCTGAGATGTGATTTTTTTAAGTATCTCACTGAAACACACTATTATTTTCACAACCTGCTTCAGAAGAGGAGTTGCTTTATTACTGTTTTTTCCCCCTCCTCAGTTTTTGTCAGGTCAATAAACACCAGAAAGGCACAATCCACACGGATTATCAATGCTTACAGGTTACATAATCCTACAATCTCAAATGAAATGTTGGAAGCATTTAATGTCAAAGCAAACAACTACTACCTTTAGGTGGTTTATCTATTTGCTTACCTTTACTTGCACTCTCAACGTGCTGCAACTCATCTGGAAATTTCAAGATGTCTCGGTAATTCTCCTCACAGATTTCTGCCAGGAAATGCAATAGGGTTGTTTTCTGATCCGATGATTTAGTATCTCGAATCTAAAAAGTGAACATAGGAGAACACAAAGAGATAAAACACCAAATTTTTTTTAGTAAAATGTTTAAATGAAGTGAACGTTGCAGATTTGGATACTCATTAGCCAAAAGCTACCTATGTTGAGTGCTTGCAAATGAAACAAAGGGGTTTTATGCAGAGAGCTCATGAGCATGACACAAAACACTCAATATGAGGTTCTGCAAAAGCCTTCCAACTTTATTTTTTGCCAGGGTTCTTTTACACACTTTTCCATAATGTATGCCTGTTTGCCAAATTCTAATTGGTTAACAGACTACAACAATGTTGGCCTGCTCCTCCCAGGAGTAGTCCCTCCTGCGTCTACTTTTAGCCACAGCTTGTTTTGCCCATCCTAATGCTGCATCAAGGTCGCCGTGTCCTTGTCTGTGATTGGTTGCTGTTTCCCGCCTTTACTGCTCCTGTTTGGGATGGTGGGTGTCTCCCTGCCGACACAGCACCTCCATAGCAGTATGTCCTTGATCTGTTAGCCATTCTCCAACAATTCCCCCTTTTTCTTTAGGTGCTGGGTGTACTAGTAGAACCCTATCTGGCAAATGTGTCATTTGTTTCATTAAACACGAATAGGCAATTCTGAGAACAGCAATCATAACAATGATTATAACAAACCAACGTAATGCTTCTAACAACAACGTTTCTAACCACGGCGCAACATTGCCGAACAAAGAAGAGAACCATTGTCCGAGAGGGTCACCCATTATCTGAATCTTCTGGGCGTGGTCGCGTAACCATTTGAGTTGTTTCTGAATTGATTGTCCATGGCTTGACAAATCAAAACAACACATACCATCAAATTCGTCGCAGCCATGTCCCTGAGCCAGAAGTAGAAAGTCAATAGCCGCTCTATTTTGAAGGACAGCATGTCTTAAACTGTCCATATCTTCCTCCAATTGTGTAAGCACTTTGGTGGTAACACTGGCCTGTCTTACTGACCAACACGCTAGTCTTTCAATGGCCTTTAAGGCTTGGGCTGCTGCCACCCCTGGGGCAAACACAGAGGCAAACACTCTGGCTGTAAGAGACCAGAGCTCTAATTGATCGTTACACTGAGATGTAAGCGTGTGGGCGGCTCGTTTCGTTCCCTTTAAGCTAGCCGTGATGTTCAGCCACTCTCTTTGGTGGGGTGTGAACATGGTCAGTTTTCCAAGATAACAAGGTCCACCATACACGTTCCTTGGAATCCCTTGCCATGCTCGATCGCCACAAATCAAAAATACACTGGGGGGAGAGTTTTAGCCGTATTATTGTTCCACACTGTTTTGGTATCTGGATAGGCACCATATGCTCCCAGTGATACATTATTGTGTGCATATCCACAGTAGTCACCCCAAAAATGATAACCATCATTCTTGGGTGAGACAACAGTCCACCCAGACTCGTTCACGTACCATGGCTTCATTGTAGGCAATCCAACGCTAGCAAGCCACTTGTTTATAAATGCAGCAGCCACAGCCACGGCCTGGAACCTATTTCCAAATACAAAACAGGTCTGTGTCCAGTTCCTAATCTGGTGTCCTACTTGTTGGGAACCTAGTAGGTCTAATTCCTGAGGGTCCCAAGGTAAGGTTATGTTGAGGTTACGAATCAGGTGAGCCGCACACTGAGACGTGTTTCCGGCTAATGGCCAAGTATAATTGGTAGCATACCCGCGAAAGTCATCGCTGTTCAAAAATGGAACCCCAGCTAAGCAGGTTCTAAATGGCTCTGTGGCCGTTTGCAAGCTGAGGCAAAAATCAGTTTGTCCTGTCCTATTCGCCCATGTTACCCATAAATTCTGCCGAGGGTTGATGTTTGTCACACCATCCGCCTTTCCCCCCAGAACAATTAATAGCATTACAAGGAAATACATTGTTGTCTAACAGTTCACCACTTCCAATTACAAATTCCCTGTTGGTCTATGGCTGATCTGGTCCATTTGGCCGGAATCCATTGCAACCCTGTTGGGGTAAGCACACACATGTGACCTCTCCCCTGATATACGACTTCGGCTGCATCCTGCCAAATACCGGTTTTTAAATCTCTATATCTGACTTTCATCTTTGGTTGCTCTATTGAACCCTTCTGGGGCTTTAAATCGTGAACCCAAGCTGCGGGATCCTCTTGTCCAAAGATACAAAAGGTGGTTCAACGTAAAGAGCGTTTGAGCCAAGCGCCCCTAAATATCCTGAATTTCCTTATTTTTTTCCAGATAACGCTTCAACACCTGATGTGATCTTTCTATGATAGCTTGTCCAGTAGGTGAGTGTGGTATACCTGTTACGTGTTTCACTCCCCACATTTTCAAAAACCTCTGGACCTTTAAACCGACATATGCTGGACCATTGTCAGTCTTAATTGTCTGAGGTACTCCCATAATAGCAAAACATACGGTTAGATGCCTGATTACATGGAGACCCTTCTCTCCTACCTGAGCTGAAGCCCATATATATTTGCTGTAGGTGTCAATGGTTACATGAACAAATTTCAAGTGACCAAATTCTTTGACATGGGTAACATCCATTTGCCAAATCTCATTTGGTCCGAGCCCTTTAGGATTAACTCCAATCCCCAATCCAGGACCAAAGTGACTACACTTTGGACAGCTGCGGACTATTCCTTTTGCTTCCTCCACGGTGATCCCAAACTGCTTAAAAAGTCCCTTGGCATTCTGGTGGAAAACTTCACGTGCTTCTCGGGCCTTAACAAAATCGCTCAACGGTACTGTTACTGAAACCAGCTGATTGGCTCTCTGATTACCTTCTCCTAGGCCCTCTGACCATTTATGGCTTCTAATGTGAATCATACAATATGATTCTGCGTGCTGCTGTATAGCAGATTGTAATGTCCGCAATAGTTCAAACAACCTCAAATTGTTAACTTCCTTGATTCTCGCCCCCTCTATCCGGTTTACTATACCAACTACATACAACGAATCAGAAATCACATTAACCGGTTCACTTATCCAATTTAAAAAGACCCACACAACTGCTGACAATTCTAATAACTGCAGTGAGTCTTTTCCTTCTGCCTGAATTATTTGGTGATGCCATTGTCCATCCTTTTCCCATGTAACCGCTGCTGTTTGTGATTTTTTGCCTGCGTCTGTATAAATGGTCAAGGCATCTATTATAGGTGCTTCACTCCGCTTTGGCTTTTCAATCCACTCCGATCCTGCCACCCATTTTAAAACAGGGCTTTTCAAGGTATGTAGCTTAATGGGAGTGGCTTGAGTCAATAGGCTTAGCTGCAATGTCTCTGAATGCTGTAACCACCAATTTAAATCCTCTCTTCGGACTGGAAGGTATATTGTCTGAGGTTCTGCCCCCTGGATCTGTAGCAATCTTGTTCTTCCTTTGCGCATCGGTTCCGCCAAGTTTTCCTCTTTCTGTTGAATTGTCACTTTTGGCTGCAATGATGTAAAAAGCCATTCCAGGACTTTAGGTTCCCCCTTTTTCTTTGTGCACTGAGTGCACCGACCAGTTGTCCCTTGGAGTGTAGCACAGTAAGATCAACGGGGAAATTGCGATCAATACGATCAACTGCACGACTTGCAATGGCAGTAGAAATTTTTTGTAAAGTCGCCTTTTGTAAAACGGAAAGTTTCACGGGCAAAGCCAGATTAGTGCCTTTTAACAAGGGCCGTAAAACTACCAAATCGTCACTGGGGATACCCACGATTGGTCATAACCACTGTAAGTCCCCTAATAACTTTTGAGCATCATTTAAGGTTTTGACATCAGTAGCAATGTGCAGTTTTTGTGGTCGAATCTGGGACTCTGTGATCGACCACCCTACGTATTTCCAGGTCAGCTGTCGCTGTATCTTTTCAGCTGCAATCAACAAACCGTGCTTTTTCAATGTTGCTTCTAAATAACATTCCTGTTCCGGCAGAAATGGCTGTTGCTGCGCAATCAGGATATCATCCATATAGTGATATATCAATGCACTGTCCCAAGCAGACCGAACCTCCCGCAAGGCATTGTCAACAAACAATTGACACAGAGTAGGACTATTTTTCATCCCTTGAGGGAGCACGACCCATTCAAATCTGCATGCCGGTTCTGCACGATTAACTGAAGGCACGGTAAAGGCGAAACGTTCGGTGTCTTTGGGATGCAAAAATATCATGAAAAGCAGTCCTTTAAATCGATAATCAATAAGTTCCACCCTTCCGGTAACATGGCAGGGTTTGGCAGTCCCGGTTGTAGTGCCCCCATAGCCTGCATTTGGTCATTCACTGCTCTAATATCCTGCAACAGCCGATATTTGCCCGATTTCTTTTTAACAACAAAAATTGGTGTATGCCATGGGCTACTCAATGGTTTGATGTGTCCTAAAGATAATTGCTCCTCCACCAAGGTTTTTGCTTGCTCGAGACTTTCCTTCTTTAGCGGCCACTGTTCGACCCACACTGGTTCATTATTTAACCATACCAAGGGAATCGGGAAAGTCCAATCAGTGACCGCCCCTAAAAATGTGAATCAGTCATCAGTCTCACCCCAAGTTGGTCTAACACATCTCTCCCAATTAAGGCTACAACCCCTCGGGGTAGGGGCATTACTGTAATAATAGCAGTGGCTCTACGTCCATCCAGGTAAATCACAATCCTGTCCTGACTTTGTTTGACAGCTGCTGTTCCTCCTACTCCTTCCACACTACCAGCAACGTCCTTTGTGGGCCAAGAAGCTGGCCAAGAATGCTGTTCAACAATAGAGATATCAGCACCAGTGTCCAACAGTGCCTGCAGGATGACCTGTTCTCCTCTATTGTTCAAGGTGACCGTCGTTACTGGCCTCTTCTTAAGTGGCATGGAGAGCATTACTAGGCCCCCTGTGGAACCAAATCCTCCTTGTCTTTGGTCCATTCGGTTATTTGTTGCCATACCTCTCGTTAGTTGTGCCAAAGGCACTAGTTGTGCAATTCTGCTGCCGCGTGGGATAACAATTGGTGGAAACGATGTTTGAGCTACGATACAGATTTCACCCTC